CCAATGGAACAGAACAGAGGCCTCAGAGCCAATGCCACACATCTACAACCACCTGGTCTTTTGACAAACCTGACAAAAACAAGCAATGGGGAAAGGATTCTCTGTTCAATAAATGGTGTTGGGAAAACTGGCTAGCCATGTGCAGAAAGCAGAAACTGGACCCCTTCCTGACATCTTACACTAAAATTAATTCCAGATGCATTAAAGACTTAAACATAAGACCTAACACCATAAAAATCCTAGAAGAAAACCTAGGCAAAACCATTCAGGACATAGGCATAGGCAAGGACTTCATGACTAAAACACCAAAAGCATTGGCAACAAAAGCCAAAAGAGACAAATGGGATCTAATTAAACTCCAGAGCTTCTGCACAGCAAAAGAAATAATCATTAGAGTGAACTGGCAACCAACAGAACGGGAAAAAATTTTTGCAATCTACCCATCTGGCAAAGGGCTAATATCCAGAATCTACAAAGAACTAAAACAGATTTAAAACAAACAAGCAAACAAACCCATTCAAAAGTGGGCGAACGATATGAACAGACACTTTTTGAAAGAAGACATATATGAGGCCAAGAAAGATGAAAAAATGCTCATCATCACTGGTGATTAGAGAAATGCAAATCAAAACCACATTGAGATACCATCTCACACCAGTTAGAATGGTGATCATTAAAAAATCTGGAGACAACAGATGCTGGAGAGGATGTGAAGATAGGAACACTTTTACACCGTTGGTGGGAGTGTAAATAGTTCAACCATTGTGGAAGACAGTGTGGTGATTCCTCAAGGACCTAGAAATGGAAATTCCATTTGACCTAGCAATCCCATTACTGGGTATATATCCAAAGGATTATAAATCGTTCTATTATAAAGACATATGCACATATATGTTCATTGCAGCACTGTTTACAATAGCAAAGACCTGGAACCAATCCAAATGCCCATCGATGATAGACTGGACAAGGAAAATGTGGCACATATACACCATGGAATACTATGCAGCCATAAAAAATGATGAGTTCTTGTCCTTTGTAGGGACATGGATGAATCTGAAAACCAAAACCATCATTCTCAGCAAACTGACACAAGAACAGAAAATCCAACACCGCATGTTCTCACTCATAGGCGGATGTTGAACAATGAGAACATGTGGACACAGGGAGGGGAGCATCACACACTGGGATTTGTTGGGGGAGACTAGGGGAGGCACAGCAGGGGTAGGGATTTGCGGAGGAATAACATGGGGAGAAATGCCAGATATAGATGATGGGCGGATGGAGGCAGCAAACCACATTGCCATGTATGTACCTATGCAACATGCAATCCTGCATGTTCTTTACATATACCCCAGAACCTAAAGTGCAATAAAATATATTTAAAAAGAAAAATTAAAAAAATTTTAAAAAAGAAATATCCCAAGCCAGAACCACTTCTAAGTTCATGATCCATAGCTAAGCCACTTCCAAGTTCATGATCCATGAAAAGTTGTAATATTAATATTTATCATCTGAGGTCACCAGGTTAGGTGATAATTTGTTATGCAGCAATACAAAACTAATAAACAATATAATACCATATTTTAAAATATTTTTTCTGCAGTTTGTAGCAATCATTTTTTATAAATATCAAAAGCAAGAAATTGTTTATACAGACATATACATGTAATAAACTTTTTTTTAAGTGTGAGAATATTAAAATATCATTCCACTGATAACAACTGTAATGCTTAGATTAGCTACATAAAACAATGGTACAGAAGCATCAGAGAGCAACAGAGTTTGGCAGGACTGGTGCAGCCAAGAGCACATAGATAAAGGAAGTGAGATAAGCCATACATTTGACTCTGATTTTTCCTTTGTGTCACTTGCCAGTTCGTGATGTGGAGCAATAAAGGCTGAAGGCAGAGCATCAGAGAGGCTTGCAGAAATCTCACTAAACTAGGGAGTCAGAGGTTGGAGTTCAAGGCCCACCAGTGGGGAAGGAACCTGACAAATACTTCAGGATTTTAGTTGAGATGACTAAAGAGCTAGGCCCCTAAAAGTGAGTTAAGCTCTAGCAGTAGGGGAGACTATCCTTAGGAATCTTGGAATATGCCCTAGGCACAGTTAGAAATAGACCAACTCTAACAAAGCTCCTAGACCTATCCTCAATTGCATCAGCATGAAACTGAGAGTACCTTATTTCCCTGGCATAAGAAAATGTAATAACCTTTGAAGGAAGGTAGCTAGAGAATACTATTTTTTATACATGATGTCTAGATCTCAGTGGAAAATTACTAGGCATGCCAAAAAATAGGATCAAATGACTAAAACCAAGAGGGGAAAACAAAAAATGGAAAACAGTGATGCAGATACCGAAGTTATTAAACAGAGAGTTTGAAATAACTATTATTAATATGTTCAAGGAAATAAAAGAAAGGAAATTTTACCAAAGAACTGGAGTCGGCTTAAAAAAAAAAAAAAAAGTCAAGCCAGAAAAATCACAAGGTCAGGAGTTCAACACTTGGCTGGTCAACATGGTGAAGCCCTGTCTCTACTAAAGATACAAAAAATTAGCCAGGCGTGGTGGCAGGCACCTGTAATCCTAGCTTTTCAAGAGGCTGAGGCAGGAGAATCGCTTAAACCTGGGAGGCAGAGTTGCAGTGAGCCCAGATCATGCCATTGCACTCCAGCTTGGGCAACAGGGTAAGACTCCATCTCAATGAAACAAACAAAAAAAAAGTCAAATGAAAATCTTAGAATTAAGACAATAAAATTACTGAAATTAAGAATTGAATAGATGGGTTCAAAAGCAGATTAGACATAGCCAAGACAAGATAGTAAAAAACAGGGACAAAAGAATGAAAAATGGAGCCGGGCACATTGGCTCACACCTGTAATCCCAGCATTTTGGGAGGCCGAGACGGGCAGATCACCTGAGGTCAGGAGTTCAAGATCAACCTGGCTAACCCAGTGAAACCCCATCTCTACTAAAAATACAAAAATAAGCCAGGCATGGTGGCACACACTAGTAATCCCAGCTACAGTACTTGGGAGGCTAAGCCTGGAGAATCACTTGAACCCAGGAGGTGGAGGTTGCAGTGAGTGGAGATCAAGCCATTGCACTCTAGCCTGGCAACAGAGCAAGACTCTGCCTCAAAACAAAACAACAAAACAAAAAAGAATGAAAAATTGAAAAAAAAATGTAATTGGCCAGGTGTGGTGGCTCACACCTGTAATCTCAGCACTTTGGGAGGCTGAGGTGGGTGAATCCATTGAGGTCAGGAGTTTGAGACCAGCCTGGCCAACAAGCAAAATCCTTGTCTCTACTAAAAATATAAAAATTAGCTGGACATGGTGGTGGGTGCCTGTAATCCCAGCTACTCCGGAGGCTGAGGCAGGAGAATTGCTTAAACTAGGAAGCAAACGTTGCAATGAGCCAATATTGTGCCACTATACTCCAGCCTGGGCAACAGAGTAAGACTCAATCTCAAAAAAAAAAAAATGTGATTAATATAAGGGCACGGTAAAAACATCTAACATATTTGTAATTGGGACCCAGAGACCCAGATGAAGAGAAGAATGGGATAGAACCAATTTTTAAACAAATACTGGCTGAGAATTTTCCAAAATGATGAAAAACATCAAGCTACAGTGCAAAGAATTTATCCTCATGCAAGACAGACAGACAGACAGACAGACACACACACACACACACACACACACACACACACACACACACCCCTAGCTATATCACAGAAAAACTGCTGAAAACAAAAAACAGAAAAATTTTAAAAGCAACCAGAGGAAAAAACCCACATTGTTTTCAAAAGAGCAACAATAAAACTGACAGCTAAGCAACAGAAAAAATGGATAAAGAAAATTGTTAAAGCACTGAAAGAAAATAATTACCAACTTAAAATGCTATACTCAGTGAAAATATCCTTCAAAAGTGAAGGCACAGTAAAGACATTTTAGGGCAAACAAAAACTGAAAGAACTTATTGTTGGCATAGCTACCTTCAAAGAAATACTGGAAGAATTTTTTCAGGTAGAAGATAATCCCAGAAGAAATCAGTAATGCAAGATGGAATAAACAGGCCAGGCACAATGGCTTACACCTGTAATCTTAGCACTTTGGAAGGCCAAGATGGGCAGATCATCTGAGATCAGAAGTTCTAGACCAGCCTAGCCAACATAGTGAAACCCCACTTCTACTAAAAATACAAAAATTAGCTGGGCGTAAGAGCACATGCCTGTAGTCCCAGCTACTATAGAGGCTGAGGCACCAGAATCACTTGAATCCAGGAAGTGGAAGTTGCAATGAACTGGAATTGTGCCCCTGCACTCCAGCCTGGGTGACAAAGCGAGACTCTTGTCTCAAAAAATATATTTTTTTTAAAAAAGAGAAGGAATAAATAGCACCAAAAAGGTAAACTGTATGGATAAACCTAAATTAATATTTACTATATAAAACAATAACACTAATGCCTTACAGAGTTCAAAATTTATAGTGAATTAAATACATGTTAACAATAGCACAAAAAGCAGGAGAGGGGTAAACAGTTAAAGTGTTTTGAGGTTCTTGCATTGTCCAGGACATGACATATGTACAGTTGTTCCTTCTTATCTGTTGGAGATTTGATCCAGGACTTCCTGCAGACACCAAAATCCACAGATGTTCAAGTCCCTTACCTCAAATGGCACAGTATTTGCCTATAACCTACACACATCCTTCCATATACTTTAAATCATCTAGATGACTTATTATAACTAATACACTGTAAGAGCTATGTAAATAGTTGTTTCACTGTATTGCTTAGGGAAATAATGACAAGAGAAAAGTCTGTACATGTTCAATACAGATGTAACCATCCATTTTTTTTCCCCAAACATTTTTGGTCAAAGGTTGGTTGAATCCACAGATACGGAACCCAAGGATATGGAGGCCAACTCTAGTAATTTAACATTCGTTATAGCAAAATAATCATACCTGTTGCAATCTCTAGGCTAATCATTGTGTTCACTTTGGCAGCATATACATCAAAATGGGAAGAATACAGAGAAGATTAGCATGGCCCCTTGAGCAAAGATGGCATGCAAATTCTAGGGTAATCACCAAAGAATAATAAAAGAATGTACAGTTAACAAGCTTTAGAGTAGGGAAGTGGAATGATTTTTTAAATACATGAATAATCTGAAGAAGGAGAAAAAGGGGAACAAAATTAACAGAAAAGATAGAAAGTAAATTATAAGATGATGGATTTAAATCATAACGTCAGTAATTAAATATAAATGGTCCAGAGATGCCAGTTAAAAGACAAAGATTGTGAGACTGGATAAAAATGAACCTCAAATATAAGGATACAAAAAGAAAAGTTGTGTGGCAGTTTTAAAACATAGCCACAAATCCTTTGGCACCCCTCTCATTAAGAGATGGGGTCTGTCTCCCTTCCCCAGTCTGTGTGGGCATGTGATTCCTTCAACCAATAGAGTACAGTAGAAGTAATGCTGCAGGACTTTGGAGGCAAGAGCATAAAAGCCTATGCAATTTATGCTTTGTTTGGTGAAGCAGTCACTTTTAGAGCTCTGAGCCACTGTGTCAGAAATCTGACTACTCAAGGCCACCATGTTATAAGGAAGTCCAAGTAGGCACTAAAATCCACAGTCCTAGCTGAGTCCAGTCCCAAGTTAGCCCAGTCCAGTTACCAGACATGTTATAGAAGAAGTCTCCAGATTCTAGCCCCCAATAATTCACATCTTTCCAGCCAAGACTCCAGACAATGTAGAACAGATATAAAGTGTTCCTGCTAAGCTCTGTCCAAATTCCTCACCCACAAAACCTATGAGCATAATACAATGTTTGTTGGTTTATGCCACTAAATTTTGGGGTGGTTTGTTATGCAGCAGCACAAAAACGGAAAAAGTTGAAGCTAAAAGGATGAAAAATATACGCCAAGCAAACAATCAAAAGAAAGCTGGTGTAGCTAGACAAATATCAGACAAATAAACTTTAAGGCAGGCAATTTTACTGAATGATATTTCCTAACAATAAAAGGATCAATTTAATAAAAAAAGAATTTCCAGTCTAACTTTGTATACACATAATAACATAGCCTCAAAATAAATAAAGCAAAAACTGACAGAACTAAGGGGAAAAAATTCAGATCCACATGTACTATTGGAAATTTTAACATACCTAAGTAAATGGGATATTCTTTGACGACAATGAAATTGAGCAAGAAGTCCAAAACAGAAAGATAACTAGGAAATTTCTGGATATTCAGAAATTAGGGAATATACTTTTCTATATAACACATGAGTAAAAGTGAAAAAATAACTCATTAAAATATCAGGCTTCTAGTCAACAACAAAAAATACCATGAATAACAAGAACAGGCAAGTCACAGAATAGGAGAAAATATTTGCAATATATACATATGGAAATTAGAAAATATTTTTAACTGAGTGGCAATGAAAATAACGTATCACAAGTTATTGGATACAACTATGGCCAGGCGTGGTGGCTCACTTCTGTAATCCCGGCACTTTGGGAGGCCAAGGTGGGAAGATCACTTGAGCCCAGGAGTTCAAGACCAGCCCAGCCAACAGGAAAAAGCAAAACCCCAGCTCTACAAAAAATACAAAAATCAGCTGGGCACAGTGGTGCACACCTGTAGTCCCAGCTACTCAGGAGGCTGAGGTGGGAGAATCACTTAAGCCCGGGAGGTGAAGGCTGCAGTGAGCAGCGTTCATGCCACTGCTCTCCAGCCTGGGCTACGGCATGAGATCTTGTCTCAAAAAAACAAACGAACAAAAAAGGAAACAAAAGTTATTCGATGCAACTAAAACTGAGACAAGGGGAAATGTATAGCTCACTAGAGCCCACTACAACTACCAATATGGCTAGAAACGTTTTTTAACAATACCAAAGATTGGAAAACTGTTTAAAGTATCTATGATAGCATGTACCTACCTGGCGACATGGCAACTAAATTCATTATAGCCAACATTAATGAGTAAATATGTGCCCCAAAAGATAAGGACAGGAGAATTCATGGCAGGTTTCTTAATCATAGCCAGAAAACAGACACAACGCAAATGCCCATGAATAATAGAATGAGTGAATACATTGCATGGTTTATTCTACAGTGGAATACTCCTCACCCACAAAAATGAATAAACTACCACCGCATACAACAATATGGAGGAATCTTGCAACTAGAGCGCTGCCAGCCCGAAAGACAAGAGTACATACTTCACAATTCCAAAACTAATCTACAGTGGCACAAATCAGAACAGTGGCTACCTTGGGACGCGGCTGGAGGGAGGAATGACTAGAAAGGGACATTTCTAGAGTACAAATAATATTCCATGACCCAATCCAGGTGTATACTGTGTAAGTATACAGTTTACATAAGTGTATACTGTGTAAAAATTAATCAAGTTGTACATTTAAAATGTGTGCATTTTAGGCCGGGTGCGGTGACTCACGTCTATAATCCCAGAACTTTGGGAGCCTGAGGCAGGTGGATAACAAGGTCAGGAGTTCAAGACCAGCCTGGCCAACATAGTGAAACCCTGTCTCTACTAAAATACAAAAAAAAAAATCCGGGTGTGGTGGTGTGCGCCTGTAGACCCAGCTACTCGGGAGGCTGAGGCAGGGGTATCACTTGAACCCAGGAGGCAGAGGTAGCAGTGAGCCAAGATCACTCCACTGCACTCTAGCCTGATGACAGTGAGACTCTGTCTCAAAAAAAAAAAAAAAAAATCTGTGCATTCCAGAAAGTGGCCTGAGGTCAGGAGTTCTAGACCAGCCTGGTCAACATAGTAAAACCTCATCTCTACTAAAAATACAACAATTAGTTGAGTGTGGTGGCGGGTGTCTGTAGTCTCAGCTACTCAGAAGGCTGAGGCAGGAGAATCGCTTGAACCCTGAAGGCAGAGTTTGCAGTGAGCCAAAAGCACGCCACTGCACTCCAGCCTGAGCAACAAGAGCAAAACTGCTTCTTAAAACAAAAAAAAATAAAGAAATTTTAAAATTCCAGAAAGTGTTCATTTCTGAAGGAGAAATCAGAAGATAGAAGAGGAGAGGCTAATACTTATATATTCAACGCATACACCCTTTGGTATGCATCAAATATTAAATGCTAACAAACACATGATATTAGTAAAACCAAATTCTTCAAATATTTACCACCCATTTACTGAACTCGGGAAGAATTTTAAAAGTAAAATGAATATAAATGATTCTCACTGATGTTTAAATACAAGAAGACGATTGCATTAATTTAATAAGTGCCCTCCTAGCATCATGCTGATTGTACCTTCAAGAGACCACTTTGTATGACATAGGGCCATAAGCATGACAGGCATTATTGAATGCATACTGTCTGTAGGGCACTGTTGTGAATGCTTTACATGCATTTAATTGTCATATAACCCTATGAGGCCAGTACTGTTATCACCCCAATTTAACAGATGGGGAAACACACACAGGGAGTTCAAGTGATTTGCTGGTGGCCTCACAGCAGGCAAGCAGTCGAGCCAGCATTTGAAGCCTGCCTTTGAATGGCTGTCTGGTCTCAGAGCCTACTCGCTCTACATCTGCACCACTCTGCCTCTTGTAAGGAATACATCTCCCATTTCTGGGAGTTTTCCACCACACCCCTGACTTATGAAGAGGACTACAATGGAGTTGCAGGGTGTCCATAGAGAGGGGCTTGTGATGTATCTGTAATCACAATGACAATGAATTACATTGTCATCACTGCCAATAACAATAATAGTAACCACTGAGCCCACATGGTTCTATGTCACAGAGTATGTTAAAAAGTTGCGATGATTAAACAGTTAACAGGCTTTTTTTAATTCCAGACCTTCACTAAGAAATAACCTGGATCAGCAGGGTATGGTGACTCACGCTTGTAATCCAGCACTTTAGGAGGCCGAGACAGATGGCTCTCCTAAGGTCAGGAGTTCCAGACCAGCCTGGCCAACATGGCAAAACCCCGTCTCTATTAAAAATACAAAAATTAGCCTGGAGTGGTGGCATGTGCCTGTAATCCCTGCTACTCAGGGGGCTGACAAAGGAGAATCGCCTAAACCAGGGAGGCAGAGGTTGCAGTGAGCGGAGATCATACCACTGCACTCCAGCCTGGGTGACAGAGTAAGACTTCATCTCAAAATAAATAAATAAATAAACTAAGAAATAACCTAGATAAATTATCTTCTCTCTCTGAATTCTCTCCCATCCTTTCCTGGCTTCTGGCACCTATGACCTTATAAATGCCCTTGATTTATTCATGATCTATGTCTTATCTCTCCCCCAGGAAGACAGCATTTGTTTCTGATTCTTCTTTGCCTTCTTGTGGGGCATGTTACTTAGACATGGAAGGTGCTGAGGAAATATCTGTGAAATAACTGAGTCCACACATGACAAATAAATAAAGGTGACGTCAAACATCCAAGGTCTTTGCAAAAGCTCCCACATACCCTTGACCTTGCCCATCATATTCACTGTCATAATCCTGAGATTTAGAAAAGGTCCTGTGAGTTATAAGTGCTTACTCAATACCAAGTTTTGGTTCAATGAATGAAAGTAGGAATGACAGATAATTCTGGCACTTTGTAAAATATCTGTAGACCAAGCCTCATCTCTGTGAAAGGCCTTGCTGACACTGAGATGGGTCGACATGTCTACCAACTCAGGGGGACAAGGAAGAGGCACTACACTGCTGGGTTCCTGTAAGAGAAGAAGGCGTCTACAATGCCGCAGTAGACAGCAGGCTCGAGGGAAAATTCTTTTTTTTTTTTTTTTTTTTTTTTTTTTTTCTGAGATAGAATCTTGCTCTGTCACCCAGTCTGGAGTGCAGTCACAGCTCACTGCACCCTCCACCTCCTGGGCTCAAGCCATCCTTCTGCTTCAGCCTCTTAAATGGCTGGGACCACAGGTGCACCACCACACTTGGCTAATGTTTCTTTTTTAATTTTGTAGAGACAGGGTCTCACTATGTTGACCAGACTGGTCTCAAACTCCTGGCCTCAAGCAATCCTCCTGCCTTGGCCTCCTAAGCCCAGCAAGAATGTTCTTTCCTTGTCTAGTAAGAGCTCAGCAGTGTCTGCCA